CCTTTGACCTGTGCTGATGACAATGTTGTTCCTGTCGCTGCTGCCACACCCCGACCCCAACCCCTGGACTCGTAGACAGGACATCCTAAGCCTGAACCCTAAAGCCTACGATGCGCATCCTAAACGCTGCTTGGCCGAATTCGCCTTGCAGATGCCAAGGGGCTCTTACGTGCCGCACAACAAGGATTGGATTAAGGCGCCAGGGCGCTTCCGCAGGTTTTTCCATTCTGGGTTTGTGTGACTGAACAATGACCCGAGACAGCTTGGCTTTGCCACGGCTAGTCTGGAGCTCAGGGATACATGCTCCTAAAGCGTCAAGGGCTTCAAGAGCTGCATGCCGCTTCCAAGTGTGGCACCTTAGTGACGCTGCGTGCGCTGCGATGCTTGCTAGGCGCATGTCGCCGCACATGACGGCTTGAAGAAGCACATCCGAAAACAGGCTGCAACCCAGCCAGCAAACATGGCATGGGAGGTGGAGGTCTTCAACCACCTGAAGTCACAGGTCCAGCAATGAGCCGGTACGGGCACATGGCCTTGCGAGACGTTCACTTGCTGTCCTGCAACCGCAATCGCTCAAGCCGGCGGCTGTCAAAATCTGCTTTGTCTTTCGTAACATTGCGGTAGTCTTGTCGTTGTCGTCCGCAGCAGAAGTACTGTAGCAGTAGCGGTCGCAGTCGCAGTCGTAGTCATCGTCGTGAGTCGTGGTCGTTGACGTAGTAGTGGCAGTGGAAATGGCAGTGGTAGTGCTTGTGCTAGTGCCAGTGCTAGTGAAGGTAGTAGTAGTCGTAATGGTAGCAGTGGTGCTGGTGCTGGTGCTGGTGGCGGCGGCGGCGTCGGCGGCGTAGTCGAAGTCGTAGTGGTAGTAATAGTAGTCGTCGTCGTCGTCGTAGTGGCACTGGTAGGGGTACGTAGTTACAGTACAGTAGTGATGGCCGTGGTGATGGCCATATCTGCCACGTAAAGTGTTCACAAGAACTTCTGTGAGATGCTAGTGTAGTTCCTGGCGTCGTAATGCAAGCCGCCGCAGCATTCTCGTGCCTTATCTTGCACAGTTGCACACCTTGGTGGCTCACAGGGCATTTTGAAGCCGCATGGGCAGTACACCGACGCACCCGCATGATGCATGGCACAGTTCTGTTGTTAGCTTTCTTTTGAACAGAAGGCGACAGGAACCTTCATCAGATCAGGAAGCAACAGTTGCAAATCCGAGAAGTCCCGTGCGCTTTCGCAGCTGGAAGGCCCGGACTTGGAGTTTTTCGGTCGGACCCAGGAAGCAGGAAATACAAGACCTAAGCAAGACGACGTCAGAAACTACACCCTAGCACTGTCAACTCGCCTAACGTCGCAAACTTTGGTCCTTTGCAATTTATTGATACGTAGAACCCACCCGCCTAAAAGTAAGATCTGTTCGTCTTTGTGCTTCAGGCCCTGCGCTTGGATGGACGTGCTGGCCGGCGTCACAGCTTCCTCTTTTCGTGGCTTTTCCAACTTGCAGCGCTTTTTGGGGTCTCTTCTGTTCGTGGAGGTCTTTTGATGTGAGCCATCAGACCTTCCGGCTCCCTGTGTTCGAAAATAAATAAATAGAGTCTTCAGCAGTCGATCCTTGGGCATAGAATTGAGGGATCCCCACCCAATTAACGGGATGACCCGCTGAGAAGTGGTCTTTGGACCCTTGTGAACATATCCCTTCCTCTGGATCACCGCCGCCGCTTCCCACGACACTTCCAACCCGTCCGAAACTGGACGCCTGGAGGCCCCCAAGCCCCCAGAATCCTGAGGCACCCTGAATCCTTGAGTGAACCTTCGCGCGAGAAGCCCACAGAAAATGGACGAATCCTGGGGTTTCGGAGGTTTCAGGGCTTCAGGCGGTTTAGGGTTTAGAGCCAGGGCGGGTTTAGGGTTTAGGGCTCCCATCGTCAAGAAACCCATGCCTGCGCCGAGTCCAAGCAAGCGACCTCGGTTCCGGTGCGGCTCCCACTGTCTTGCTGCTTACCACTGAATGTTTGAACGGGGTGAAACAACTTTTCAGCTCGGGTAGGCCCGTAGGCAAACTACTCGCCCTTCTCATGGGGGACTTGGACAAAGTGAGAAGCTTGGTTGCGGCTCGGAGTTGGTAGGGTGATGATCATGGTTTAGTGATTAGTGCTATACTCATGGTCCTGATGATGATGGTGGTGGTGGTGATGGTGACGGTAATGGGGATGGGGATGACGACTTGGACACTCTAGGGAGTGCCTATATTATGCACTTCGAGGGTATGAACAGTCGTGGTTGTGGCAGTGGTTGTGGTGTGGTGCGGTTGTGGTCTTGCTTCTCTTTTTCTTGGTAGTGGTGGTGGCGGTGGCGGTTTCGGTGGTGGTAGCAGTGGCGGTGGCGGTTGTGGTCGGTTGCGGTGGTGGTAGTGGTTGTCGGTGTTGTATGAAACAGACTTTCACACACATTTGCGCTCACAAGCGCCAGGAGAACCTTGGCTGGCCAACAACCTAAAGCCTTCAACTCTGAACCTGAAGCCCTAAACTAAACCTGAAACCCCAAAAGCCTTGAACCCTAAACCCGAAACGCGAAAAAGCAACAAAACCCATCCTTAGCGAGATTCAAGCTGCAGGCAAAGGATCCGGACTTGCCAGAAACCGTCACCTCAGGCCTTCGGCTTCGAAAGCCACGCCTTCAGGGCTTCAGCTTTCTGTCTAAAACATGGCTTCCGGGTCTGGTGTATGCAAGGGCTTGCGGTTTAACGCTCGGGGTTCAAGGAGGGAAGCTCGTCTTTGCGTGCTCTTAGGCGCAGAGTGTTCCACATCAGGGGCATCCAAAGAGTCCACGGACATGCATGTTTGCATCATTGCTTCTGGAGTCATGATGGGTACATGTGAAAAAACGCATCGACTCCAGTGCTGCAAAACCGCGTGCAGTAGCACAAGCCAAAGTATACTGCTTAGCGCCAGCCCCGCAAACTGACGGTGCCATGAAGGCGGTCTGTATCGGCATAGGTTTAACATCAATTCTGCTACGGCAGGAGTCGGCCACCATGTCAAGAAGGACGCCTTCGTAGTCGCCTGGCCTCAAAGTGAGCCCGGGGCACCCGAAACCCTAACATTAAAAGGTCCTCAGTCTTGGGTCCCGGGGGAGCCAAGACCTTCCACCTACCACTGCCATTGCCACGATGACGACTACGACGTGCTACTACTCGTCGTCTACAATCCGCGACGGCAACTGCCACAATGGCAATAAGACTAACGATGCACATCGCCGCCTCTATTCCTGCATTTTAGTGGCTGCTGGTATTTGCCTGCAGTCTGGCAGAATGCTTCGACCGTGTTGGCTTTTGATCCTCCGACTTTTCGGATGGGCCGGTCCAAGGTGCGAAATACCTTCATCGCCCGCACCCCAGCATTGGAACTTCTTGGCAGATCTCCCCGCCACTACGTTAGCCCTAGACCTTTCGCCTTACCTTCTACTGCCCGGATAGATCTGTAGTAAAACACAAACTGGACTTAGTAAGTAGGGCTATGACTGCCTTATTTGGTGAAAAAAGTCACGGTAAGTATAGTTACCTCAGCTCCTGCGCCCATGGTATTTTGAGTTCCTCAACTCGAAGATGCCGTCGCCCATCATCTCGAAGTGTGTCCTGCGTCAAAGTCTCCTATCTGCCGAGCTTCTGCCGTCTAAAAAGCCTCACACTCGGAGCTTCAAAACCCTAAACTCTTAACTCTAAACCCTAAACCCTTAATGAACCCTAATACTCTAAACCCTGAACCCTTAATCTACCCTAATTCTCTAAACCCTTAAACCCAAGCCTTGACTCCCTTTTTGGCCTGAGTCTAACACCCCAAGCCTTTCGAGGATCAGATTCCTGGAACCCCGAACTCGCCCTTCGGGGAGCGCCAGGCCTCGCATCAGGGAACAGAAGATGCATGGTAGTGCACATTATAGAATATTATAGTATATTGTAGTATATTATAGTATATTATAGTATATGATGGTATATTATAGTATATTATATGCAAAGTGGGCATTATGGGATGGTGGGAGTTGTGGGACTTCCTAGGAACGACAAAGGAGCTTGTATAGTACTGTCTGGTGCTTGCATGACGAACTCTTCTACGCATTATCCGTCATGGTCGTGACCGTCGTCGTGTATCGTAGTCGTCGTAGTAGTAGTAGTAGTCGTCGTCGTCGTCGTCGTCCGAGGCCTTGGGGCCCAGGCGAAGGTTGAGGATTTGGGGGCACGACACTTGACATTGGCAACTTGGCGGAGGTGCGAATGCAAATGACAAGCATGCTGAACACCCGGCAACCGCGGAGACTTATTTCCGTCATGTTTCATGCTGCCAAGATTCCTGGCAGGTGCACTCCTGCCCCCCGACGAGCCTGCTCGACCACGCGACTCCGCAGCAGGAGGATGCCCGGAAGCTGGGTGCTGGCCTCGGAAAACATCACTTGTCCCGGCCGTGTGAGTTCATCACATGTTAGCACCGTGCATATTATCGCGAACATCGCAGAGCTGTCCATATGCCCTAAGCCCGACAACCCGAAGCTCTATCACAAGTCCTTTTCCCAAAGTCTCAGGAATTGGTGCGACGGTGCTGGCAGCAACGGGCCCAGTTTTTGATTCGCTCAGCATTATAGGTAAAGGGTTCTGGGTTGTGGGGCCTGGGGCTTTGAGGTTTGAGGGTTAAATGTTTGAGATGAACACAATCCTTCATGATCCGCAATCAGCAAGACATTGAGTTCGGAAATCTGCCCTATACGTCACGAAGATATGAGAAAGCTTGACCTGCCAGTGCCACCCCATGAAAGACGCAGTCGCTTGCACACTGCAAATGTTTGTTCGAACCCTTCCACCCTCTGCCTGCGCAGCGACTCTATCTGCACACCCTGAGTATCTGAAGTCTGCGCTGAGGTTTTCTAAGAAGTTTTGCAACAACCTACTCGTTTAGGTTTAGGGTTTAGGGAGAAGTACTCTGATGATTCACCATGCACATTGTGCGACCTTTCACCAGGCAGTCCCTTCATCGCCTGGCTCGGATTGCGACTCCAACAAATCTGGGCTCCATGGAAGCCGGGACCAGAAGCCTTGGAGCGCGAGTCCAAGCTGTCACTATTTTATCTATCTACATACGCATAATACATATATATATGTATATATATATGTATATATATATATGTATATATATATATATATATATACGTATATACACACACACACATGCATACATGCATATTTAGTTATCTAGCTAGTTGCTTTGAGTTTGTTTTTCTTTTTTTAACGTTTGTCTTGTATGGTTGTATGATTATAGAAAAGTATATCTTATTTAGTATATTCCCAGTAGATTACATGCATATATTCTGATTCAGAGGGTTCTTGAGTTCAGTCAACATCATACACTTTCTGAAGCCACGAGAGTTGAAGATCTGCAGACTGCCCGCCCCAACCTCGCCTCCGGCCCAGAATCCTCAATCCCATTGCGCATAGCCATAGCCGCCATAGCCCTCAATTCAGGGTGTGGGGTTCCCTTCCGGGTGAGGCCCGGATGTGGTCCAGAAGCTGGTTGACGAAGCCGCAGCGGTTCTGGAAATGCACACTCCGTCCCTTCCAGGCACATCTCCGGGAGAGGGTTTTACACTTCGACTCTAGACGACTCCAGCGAGAGCTTAGGGCGGTAAGGCGAGGATTCAGGCGAAGGCTTCTCTTCTATCTTGCGCCCCCCAAGGGCCCATCAGCACAACGCCATCCTTTGCAAATTGCAGGGCCTGTGCTTCACGACATCAGTCCCCGCACCGCGCGCATCTAAAATCCCCACAGCTGGTCAGTTTGGGCTTGTGATTCTCTTCATGCTTCCTGACGACGACGAAGACAGTGGTGGTTATGGTGATGCTAGTCGTCATGAAGCTGACATACTGCGTGTAGGTCGCTGAATATCATCATATGAAGTCTAAGTCTACTGCTATTCCTGCTGCAGCTACAGCTGCTGCCGCTGCTTCTAATTACTTCTACTCCTCCTCCGCCTACTGATGCTGCTACCGCTACTGGTGGTTAAGGCCGTACATTTGTGGACCTGACACCAGGAGCCTCAAGAAGAAGCTCTCCACTGATGGCGAAGGCTTCACCCCTCATGAAGCAGCTTGCCGAACTAGATGGGAGTTTCACGAAATTAGGGTTACCTTATACCGGGGTCCTTACAATAAGGATCCTACTATTTAGGGTACTATATTGGGGTCCCCCATTTTCGGAAACCCGCAGATTGCACGAGTCAAGTCTAAGTAAATGAAACATCAGATATTCGCACTGCGGCGCACCATGACAGCTAGTTTTTTCTCGCACTACATGGGGGTTTAGGATTTTTTGGGGTTTGGTTTGGGGGTTCCGGAATCTCTGTGTTCAGGTATTCTAGGGTTTTGGGGGGGGGGTCGGGGGCGCAGGGTCTCGGATTTCCGGTTTTCAGTTTGTAGAGCTGCAGGAATTGTGATAAGTGGGGGTTCAGGGTTGAGGGTGCTGGGGTTTTCTGTGGACCTAGGTTCAGGTGTAGGCTGACAAGGAAACGCTCGAAGTGTTCTGTGATCATGTTCGTCCTTGGTGGTGACGATGTCGGCCAGTCTTCGCGGATGGGACAATGTCATGCCACGATCGATCCACAACAGTTCCAGCCCGTGCCTTTCGACTTTGAGGGTTCTTGATTCTTTACTCTTCTGCACTGCATGACTGCAAAACTGCTTCAAACATGATCTCGCTGGCGACGAGAACATTGCCGGTGATGATGATGGCGGTGGTGGGAGTGTTGGAATGGTCACTGTGGTGCTGTTGATTTTGACGGTGTTCTTGGTGCTGCTGGTGCGGCTTATCGTGATGACTATGGCAACGATGACGCCGGCGATGGTGATAGATAGTGATAATGATAGGAACAATGTTCACGATGGCGATGCCGATGCTCTGCTAAATCTGGTAGCACTTCTGTTCGTGGTGTTGAGGCAGCGTCACTCAGATTGTTCTTGCTGCTACGACTGCTTGTGTAGACCTCACTTGGCGCCGACCTAAGGAGTGCAGACTTGGTATCTTCAGCAGTTGCAGATGCTGCATCTGCTGCAGATGCTTCACCCGAGGTTGGCACGGGCGAGTGTTCTTTCACCTCCGAAGCCCCCTTCCCCCAACCCAAGCCAAACACGCCATCGGACAACAACACACACACGCCGCTCGCGAGACTCACAAGCCCCGACGCAGGTCTTGCCAGCCGGTTCCCGCGTCTCATCATTGACATTGTAATTGGTAGATAAAACTATGACTGACACTGGTGGGCATCACTTCCTAGTATAGATAGCTTTTGATTCGTACCACTCAGATCAGGTAACTAATTAATTAATGTATAGTTGTTGTGATTGTTGTTTGTTGCTTAGCCTGCTGTCCGACACCTTTTTGTTGGACCGTTGTCAGGGTTCTTGTTATTCTCGCTGGTATAACATGGTATAACGTGGACTATGGGGTAGACTGCTGGCTGGTATGCCCTGGCAGGGCAAGCCGCCAGAGATTTGCGGCACCCCCTCGCCGTGGCAGAACCACAGCCACAGTCGCCAGGACTCGGCGATCCCTCCTTGCAAGCACCTCCTGAGTCCTACAGGCTAAGCCTTGAAGTTCACACGGGGGATGAAGTTTTCGACGTTAAAAGCACCGAAAAGCCCGGGTTGTCGAAACCAGTTCAGTCTGTGCACTGCATGCTGCGGCCTTTATGTGCAATGATCATCTTGGGTCAAGTAGGCAAAGACTGTGCAAGATGAAAGAGCTCGAACTCAAGGTCCTGTCAGCCGCTAGCTCTGGGACCCGAACCATCGAATGGTCTCCGTTGTCCCTTCTGGGGTTACCTTACAGAATCCTGACTGTGAATATGGACTAGGTACGTTGAGTAATTACGTACTTAGTTAGCTACTTTCCCCTCCTTGGAAGCTCCACTTTAAGCCTCTCCACGTTGACATCTTCCTGGATGCGCCTGATTGGTCAGGAGTTCATGTGTGCCACACCCTCTCCATGGCAAGGCGAGATACTGAGCTGCTGTGTGGGATGCATCAGCAACAAAAACGACATCATCATCATAGCCCATCTATGAAGCAGTATCGCTGTCTGAACTTTCCTTGACAAGGCTCTGCCGTAGTCAACCCCGAGATCACTGCGAAGCTGTTGGCAAGAGACTCAGTGGTCAGTTTTTTGCTTCACGCGCTGCGACTCTAAGCCTGCCCCTATCAGTGGGCATGTCTCGCTACTTCAACTAGCCGAGCCGACGGGAGCAAGCAGATTGTATCCTATTGTGTATTATTTTACAATACTAGTTCATACTATATGATACTATACTATACTTATGATGATGTGATATGATATGGTATGATATGATTACATTTGATGTTATAGTTTTGTGTTCCAGCGACCTCCTGCAAGGCCATGGGTCAGCAGAAGGGCTCGGACGGCAGTGTCCAGGTGCATGTGGGAACCGTTTCCATGCGCTGAACCTGTGCCCCTCACACTGGAACATGCGGCTAATCGAAGGGTTGCGAGAGCATGTGGACGCACTCTAGATATGTTGGGCTATCTGAAAGAGACTGCCTGCACAGACAAGAAACAAGCTTGCAATGCAGAAGGCAATCCTCTGCACGTTGCCCCTTATCCCATGAACGCTGAGCCAGGACCCAGTTGCTATGATCGTTGCTTCAGCGGCCGCTGCTGCAAACAAAGATCCGCCTGTGCCACCACCTGCCCAGGCAGCTCTTTACCAGCCGGGAGCTGGGCGTTCGGATTAGCTAAGGGTCTTTTGCTGCGGTGCTCAGCATTTTACTGCTAAGGGATTAGTGTTATTATACGATTCTTGTTGAGACCCACCAGGCAGGGCTTTTGCCTTTCGGGCCTTCCCTTGAGAGCTGAGCTGGTCAGGGCTTCGGTCCCTCGGTCGGGTCCAGAGTACCTGCAAGGCATTGCGAGGACACCCGAGTGAGCTGCCACCGTGCCACTGCTACTGTTGCTGCTGCTCTACGGCGACGCAGAAGAGAGAGAAGCAGCAGAAAAGAGCAAGCATCAGGGTTGGATGCTATGCTGAAGCACCTCGGAGCACCCCGAAGATCGGTGCAATTCTAAAGCGCGGAATCGCAGCTCTAGCCCCAAACTCTACGGTAATCGAACGAGTCGGATCGTTGCGAAGTGCAACTGGGACCCACTACCCGCACAGAATTGGACAGGCTCCTCCAGCGCAGTCTGGACCTCGGCGGGCTGATGCAAGGGACGGGACGAGAATGCCATTTGTTGAATATATAACATATTTTATATTATATATTGTGACTGTAATATAGTACAATATATATATATATATATAAATGATGATGATGTTGATGGTCATGGTCATGAGTCGTGGTCGTCGTGGTCGTCCTCCGCCTCCTCCTCAGCGTCATCATCATCATTATCGCCATCAGCCTGATTCAACGATGACTGGTCATGCCGCCTCTGCTACCTGCTCCTGTTGCTGTGTGCTTCACATCGTGTCAAGGTACTCCAAAGCTGCGATGAGTCCTCAGGTAGCTCCGCCGCTCAGGCTCGCTGCTGTCCGCGTTTCGTTTGTGTCTCCGTCGTCACGCCGGAGGTTGCCCCGCATCGAGTCCGGGATCGGCGTCATCGAGGAAGGCGACAACACCTTCCCCCACAGTCCGAGCCTCAGTGAAATCTATGACGCTGTCTTCGGCAAGCCGTGAAACGGGAGGTGCATCTTCCGATCCGGAGATTGCGCCAGATCTGCAGGCCTTGTGCAGCGAGCGTTGAAAGTGTCTTTCCCCTTTGCTCAGGCATACTCGAACCAGACAGTGAACGTAAACCCCCGCCGCTGTCCACTGTGCCAGGCTATGGCTGCCAGCTTCGCATCGCTGGTGAAGCCAGAACAGCCTGGCGCAGAAGCTGTCCAGCGCGGGCCCCAGTCCGGTGGTCGGAGCGGCGGCTGGGTGAGGGAAGCAGTGTGCTGGTATTACTCGTGCCATTTGCACAGAGAATACGACTATACCCTGCCTGCCCCATCACCACCGTCGCCGCAACCATGGCAACAACGACCACGGCGACGACTCTACTGCTGCCGCCGCCACCAGCCACGACCATTTCTTGTTGCTGCTGCAACTGCTACAAGAACTGCTGCTTCTTTTCGTCCGCCTCCTCGTCCTTCGTGACAAGATTACTACTTACGACTACTGCCACCGACACTGCCACTACCACTACCACATACTGTTACTACCACTACTGCTGCTACTTCTGCCACAAACCACCAGCACCAGTCTGCCTCTACAGTAGCAAGTGTAAGCCGTTTGCACTTGCTTTCTTACCGTTGTAGTCTTGCGAATGAGGCCTTGTCCTCCTCGCACGTTGGCATCGTACTTGTTGTTGATTTTGGCATTCGCCTGACCCTGATTCTGAGCCCTACCAACCCTCTGTGAGAGACTATCCCTACTCGTCTGCTCGCGTAGCCTTCATACGCCGCCAGTTGGGTCGTTCAGAGCCTCCCAAGCCAGAGTTGAGTCCTGCCTATTGTTTATGCTAGAAGTCCGCCTGTCGCAGTTTTCCGACAGGCTGGGCTCTTTACTGTTGTGTTACCTGCTGTTCTCGCATCATCTTGGCTTTAGCTTACTGGACTTGACCAGGTGGTGGCAGCCGATGAAGGCCAGGATTCTGCATTAGTGGCATGCCCTCCCAGCCAGATACCTGATGCCCACGAATTTCAGGGGTACGAAAGGGGCCCAAAGACTTACCTAAGTTATACTTGTAGTATAATGGACCCCGACACCCAATTGGAATTATGAAGGCCCCTACATTATCTTAAACATCAACCCGCATGAGAATCTACAGGGCTCAGCTGTCCGGTGCCAGCCTGTCCTGCTGTTGTTGTGGACTCTGACCTCCTGGTAAAGCCTCGTGGAATGGATGATGCTAGGGTTTAGGGTTTAGGGTATGCGCCTGGGAGGAACCAGCCGAGATGGCAATAGCAACCTGATTACTCCGGATGGTGTCGCAGTGTCCGCTACCATTGTGGCGATGTGCGCTAGTCGTTTCTTTCGACCATCAACAAACGGCAATCGTCACCATTTTGCATTCAGCATCGTCGTCACATCATCATCCTCATGACCTTCGGCAGGATCTCCATATGCACCATCAAGCCGACACCAGAGCTACACTCACCATCACAGAAAGACTCGGTTCCACTGTGCATGACACTTCTACCCATCTTTGATCGGCATCGTCATACCATCATGACTTGACAAGACATGTCGTTTGAGACGCTGCATTCCAACGCAGTTGCTATCAGCGCTCTCTTTGGCTTTAGCTGAGTAGTTGCTCGATGCTCTAGTCTAAGCGCAACTGACAGACGCCGGTGTTGCTTGGCCAGGAGACTCTCTCGGTAGAGGAAGAGGCGAGGGCGGCATGTCTGCAGATCCATCTGCGGGTTTCTCGGTGTAGCGGTTCCTACAAGAAGGATCCTACTGTTCAGGGATTGTATTAGGATCCCTTTACGTCCTGCATGATGTCTTTGCCTTAATGGTGCATCACTTTCTTGACAGGGAGGCGCTTGTGAGCAGGGGCGGTCGATTCACGGAGTTCTGATGCATTCCTTACATGGGACGGTCCCTTTTAAAATCATTTTTTGAGGGTGCCGTACTTTTAAGGGACCTATACTAAAAAGTGGCCGTAATTTAGAGAACTACCCACCTGCTTGGGCATGCAGGCTGGCATTCTGGACTTCATCCAACGATGGGGCCGGATCCTGAGAGGGCCAGCTCCGAGCATGGACACTCAAGGCATCTCGATGTGCTAGCATTTGAGGGCATACTGGGTAACTGCAGTATGTCCGCTCGTACAGGATCTTGCAACCAGTGCCACGATCTCAAGCTAGAGCCCCATGCCTTTGAGGCTTGGATGAGAACTGCGACAGAGTTTTGAGGACCTGGCTCTGCCTGGCATGGATCACTTTCATGCTTTACTGCACCCCCTCGACTTTCCGGATGTTGATTCCTCTCAGCCGTGCACCTCACCACAACGGATGCGACCGCTCCACGGACAAGCAATGCAAGCTTTGCGCGAGGAATCTGCCATCTCACGTTCGGCAGGAGGCTTGCGCTGAGCAGAGAGCAGTTGCATAGCTATGGTCATCTTGCCGATTGGTGGTAGTAGTAGTAGTAGTCGTCGTCGTCGTAGTCGCAGTCGTAATAGTAGTAGTGGTATAGTAGTAGTGGTAGAGTAGTATCACTATAGTGGTAGTAGTACGTAGCAGTACGTAGTAGTACGTATAGCACGTAGTAGTACATAGTAGCCCGTAGTAGTACTCAAAGTACGTAGTAGTACGTAGTAGCTCGTAGTAGCACGTAGTAGCACGTAGTAGGACATAGTACGTAGTACGTAGTGCACGTAGTAGTCCGTAGTAGTACGTAGTAGTACGTGTTAGTACGTAGTAGTGCGTCGTATAGGAAAAGTAGAAGTAGAAGTAGTAGTAGTAGTAGTAGTAGTAGCAGCAGCAGTGGTAGTAGTAGTGGTAGTAGTAGTAGTGGTAGTAGTAGTAGTAGTAGTAGTAGTTGTTGTTGTTGTTGTTGGTGTTGTCGTTGTTGTGGTTGTCGTTGGCGTTGGCGTCGGCGTCGGCGTTGGCATTGTGGTTGTTTTTGTGGTTGTGGTTGTGGTTGTGGTTGTTGTTGTTGTTGTTGCTTTGCGCTTGCATCTTGTTTTTGAGTTCTTATGGTTACATTCTGCTGCTGCTGCCGCCGCCGTGTGTTTCTTCTTCCCGTCGTCCTTCTTTGGCGATAACTATCAGTGTTCAGGCTTTTCTTTCTAGTGTTGTTTGACGTTGTTGTTGCTGCTGCCGCTACCCGCTGAAGGCCTGCCGCAGCTCTGTGTTTTTTTCTTCTATGTTGCGTGTTAGATTTGTGCGCTCGCAGGAGTGTGTGTTTGTTTGTGCGTGTGTGCGTTTGTGTCTGTGTCTACTAAACGCGCTGACAACAGCAGCAGAACCAACAGCCCCACAGCAGTACGAACACGACCACCGCCGCCCGGTCACCACCGCCCCCCCCCGCCGTGAAGAACCCGCCGCCCCCAGCCGTCAAGATCTGACAACATGAACCTCAATAGCACGAGCCACAAAGACAACATGATTCATTTGAGTTTCCGAAGGTGCTGGCAAGCTTCCTTGCATCTGCTGACACGCGCAATGTCAGTGCAAAGTCAGCGGCCGAGAAGCTTGTATCTGCAGCAGTTGTGCCAGCCATGGTTTAGCGACAAACCGGATCGAAAAGCTCCCGGTTGCAACTGCCACAAGCTTTCGACAGCATCAATCCCAGGTTCATGTCATGGCTTAGCTCGCGAATGAGGCCGTTGACTTGTCCGAAAGGTGGAAAAAGTTGAAGCATGCTTGCGTGCGCTCGTTCGTGTGTGTGTGTGTGCTTGACCATACCTTGGGGTATGCCGTATTTAGTCACGCATGACGTGACAGGAACTTCGAGGAAATCGAGTGTGCCCTGGTCACCACGCCTGAGGAGCTGTGGAAGTGTCGGGCTCGGGGTTGTGGCTTGAGGATTGAGAGCGAAGTTCAATGCTCAGGGGTCAGGTCAACTGCGTGGGCTTGCCTGGGCCAGTCTGGGTCCTTGCAATGCTCTGACAGGAGCGGAAGGCTTTCTACGAGAAATGGAGGCACAACATCGTCACTGTTTTCTGTACCGTATGCAAGTGAATTACCAATCGCAGTGCTATAACATGTAGTATGTGATGTTAGCATATTCCAGTAGATACTGGCCTGGTACACGCCAAACGGTAATAGATTGGTACATCTAACACATGATCTTCATTTTGTGTGCTGTATGTGCATTTGTATCACTGTCGATCATTAGTGTGCGTGTATGAAGCCACAGACATGCATGAAAGCCTATTTCTTTGTGTACATGTGTATGTATGTATGCATGTATGCATGTATGCATGTACAGTATTATGCATGTATGCATGTATGTATGTATGTATGTATGTATATATGTATGTATGTATGTATGTTTGTGTATGTATATGTCTATGTATTGTATGTATGTGTGTATGTCTGTATGTATGTATGTATGTATGTAGGTATGTATGTAGGTATGTATGTATGGATGTATGTAGGTATGTATGTCTGTATGTATGTATGTATTTACGCATGTATGTAGGTAGATATGTATGTATGTCTGCCTATCTGTCTGCATGTATGTATGTTTGTATGTATGCATGTGCAGGTGTGCATATTGTATGTGTATATCTATATACACATCATTATGTGTATATATATATATACACATATATATATATACATAGACGCACATACTCAGCACATGCAACCGAAACGTATGCTCATGCCTGAAAGGGTAGATGAAAGCAACTTGGGAACCCCGGCACCGATCCTTAGAAATCATCCATGCTGCAGCGTAACATCAAGTGCACACCCATGTGGCAATGAGAACAACAATACACGTGTAGGTACATTTGTTCATTTGTTCGCTTGTTTCGCAAGTTGTTTACTTATGTACTGAAGTATTGCTTTCTTTATTCATTTGTTCCTTCTTACGCACCTGCTTGCTGAGCATCCATGTTTTTGGATGCGTGGATATCTGCGGGGCGCAGGCTTGACCAGAAGTGCCGGCAGCTGGTGGAGGCTCACCAGATTCGAGCTAGATGGATTGAGGGTGTAAGGCCTTAGGAGTTTAAGTAAGGCTGAGGATTTAAGGTGTCGGGTTCAGGGTTTTATTTAGACTTAGGGTTTTGGGCTAGGGGTTTCAGATCTACAACTACAGGTCCAGGAGACTTCTTTTTAAATATGATGTGAGGTCAGCTTTCCCGAACCTGCTTGATGTGAAACCCCGTTTGCGCATGCATCTTCTGCAGGTCTATCTGTGTATCCTCTCTCACTCTGTCCCTGTTTGAACAATTCACGTTCGTTACAGTTGCATGCATCAGTGCCGTTCACGTTCTTGCTCGTGGAAATGCCGATGCTGATGTCAATTGTGGTATACTCGGTACAGTGTTAATCTTGCGCGTCAGGAGCAAGCTCCCTCAGTTCAGCGGGAGCTGATCTCCAACTTCAACCCGCCACCCGGGACAAAGAACGTGGCCTCGGCACCATTCGCGGTAGGCCGCAGGATCTGCAGTCTCAACGGCCCCACGGGTGCCTCAGGCCATTTAAATTTGTCAAATAGCTAGCACCATCGCCGATGATATGACATGGTTGATCCCGTACATGTGCAGCTACTGTTAAAGGTGCGATTCTGTCAACTTCAATGTCTCTTTGTTCACCATCTCTGCTGCAACAAACGCAATTGCGGCAGCATGACAATAATCATAATTGCCACTATGTTCAGTTCTATTGCAGTTACCAGTACTTCGGTTATAGCTGCAATGAGTGCTGGTATTTCAACTTTCACTGTCTCTTCTGTACGCGAAACATACTTAGCATTACTACAACAACTGCTGCTATCAACAGCAATGCTGCTATCTTTCCCAGTGTTGCTTTCCGACCATCGCGAAGTATTTTTGAACAGATCGCCGCTTCGATTCGCAGTTCGTATCACTACGTTGACTTCCATGTTCGGTTGTCGCCATCATGTCTGTGCTGGTCTCAATTGTTGCGATTTCCAGCACATCGCTACCGTGCTCAGCCGCATTTCTGGCTGTCCTGATACTGCTTGAGTCGCATCGTGTCTTAGCCTTTGGATAGCAGGTGGCAGGGCGGATGACGGCCTTCCTCAACATGATCCTGAACAAAACGAGGCGAGAAAAGGGGGTGCCCTCTACCAGGACCGAGAAGAATGTGGACGCAGATCCCCTGGAAGGCATGCTACAGGTGAGGGGCCTGCATCCATCAACGGCAAGGTGAAAACCAGGTGTAGGCGTAGACACCTGGAATCTGGAGCATAGCCTGCAAGGGCCAAGGTAGCCACCTATCAGAACTCCGAAGCCCTGCAGCCCTGAAGCCCCGCTCCCCAGAACCCAGGCCCTAAAGTCAAAAACCCTGGCCAGAAAGCTCTGAAGCCTAGCTCTGAAACTTGAATTCCAACCCTGAACCCCTGCCCGAATGGCTGGGGCGAAAGGAATGGCTAGAGCATGTCACAAGAGTCACAAGAACCCAGCTAAGCGCGCGAAAAGGATTGGAGCATTTGAGGAAGAGGAGCAAGCCGCTCGCAAGTGGAGCAGTTGAACAAGAAAAACAGCAAACTCGTCCGGCAGGGACCGCAACCGCAACATTCCCGGAACGGATCAAGGAAGAGGAGCGAGCCGCCCGAAGAGGGATTAGATCATCTGAGAAGGAAGGGCGAACCGATTCGCGCATCCTTGAGCAAGGGGAACAAGCCGCTCCAAACAGGTTGGGAGCAGAAACAACCCGGAACGGACTAGAGCATGTTAGAGCAGTGAAAAACAGGATCAGGGCTCGACAGGGAGTTTCTGCGTTGCAACAGACCGCTCGAAAGAGGCCGCAGCTTTTGAGAAAGAGGAGCGAGCAGCTCGACGGGGAGTCATTGGCGCTTTTGACAAGGAGTAATTCGCTCGAACACGGCTTTAGAATGCTCAAGAAGGATCAGGAAACCGCTCGAAACAAACTAGAGCAATTGAGACACAGCAGCCATCCGTGACAACGGTCTCAGATCATGACAGGGAGAAGCAGACCGCTGGAACGGGACTACAGCTTTCAGAAAAGAACAAAACTGTTGGAAAGGTGCTACTAGCGGTGTAGAGCACTTGCGAAGGAGGAGCCCGCAGGTAAACAACGAGTAGGGCATCCAACAAAAAGCTCGAAAGGGACGTGAGCATTTGAGAAAGACCAGCAAAGCGCCCGACACGGACCAGAGCATTTGAGAAGGAGCAACAAATCGCACGAAAGGGACTACAAAAATTGACTAGAACGTTTGAGAAAGTGTAAGCCGCTCAAAAGGGACCAGACACGAGCAGCTAACCGCTCAAAAGAGAACGGAGACAGAGGGGCAAACCGCTTCCCACGGACTGGAACCTGTGAGAACGAGCACGAGAAGGAAACTAGACCAACTGAGCATGTGCAGCAAACCATGAAAAGGAACGGTTTAGGGTTTAGGGTTTAGGACGAAAGTTCTTGAGAACGAGGCGTGAGAACGATTGAAAAAGAGCAGGTTTCAACAAGAGCAACAGACAGCTCGGAGGGAACTGGTGCGTTTTCAACAACGAGTAGCAAGCCGCTCGAACCCGAGTACAACATTCGAAGCAAAGCAGGGACTGAAGCTCTCGAAGGAGACCAGAGCAAACTGACCATGGCAATTCAAAAACAACAGCAATCCACTCGAAGGGAGTCTGAGCAGTTGGAAAGAGCCAGGAGCAGTGAAAGAGTAGCAGATTATATTTCATGTGAGAAGAGCTGCTTCGTCGAACGGGCCTGGACATTTTGAGAGAAAACAGCAAGGTGTTTGAGAAACGGGAACATGTTTTTGAAGGAGACTAGATCGTGTTTGAGAGAGAGGAGCAACAACAGAGACTTTGGCACAGCGGAGCTATCCGTGCGAAGGTGGCGAGAACAATTGAGAGAGGGGCGTCCTGCTTCTGCTTTAGCTGCTATTAGGGTTGGTGCAGCCCCCGAGTCGAGAGCTTCTCTTTCCCATCCCAGCGGTTTTCCTATTTTCTCCCCATCCTCAAATGCACGTATCTGTTGCGACCGGCCTTTCGCAACGTTTTCTCAACATTGTATATTCACTGAGCAAGCTCTGACAGGATTAACGAACGACACAGGGTTCAAAGAGGAGCAAACTGCTCGAAAGACGCGGCTACCAGCGAAGGGGGCCAGGCTCGAGCGCTTAAAGAATGTGCACAACCAGCTCAAAAGCGAGTCGATCGACTGAAACAGCAGCGTACTTAAAAAACTATGAAGCAATCCGCTCGAAAAGGGGCCAAAACAATTGAAAAAGGTCGTCGAGACTGGTGCAGTTCGGAAAGGACCAGCAGGCCGCGCACTTTGACAAAAAGGAGCAAACCGTTCAAAAGGGGACTCGAGCATTTGAGGAGGAGCAGCAAACCTCACGAAAAGGACTAGAGAAGTTGCGAAAGAAGAACACGCCGCTCGAGAGGGGCTGGAAACGACTAGAACATTTCAGAAGAGGTGCAAACCGCTCGAAAGGGGCGAGAAAAACACGCAATATATGCGTTTGGAGAGCAAGCTGTTCGAAAGGGACCACAGCAGTTTCAACAAAAACAACAAACCACTAACGGATGAGAGCATGCAAGAACCAGGAGCAAACCGCTCGAAACGGAACGTTTGAATTTCAGAAAGGGCAGCACTTGAGTAGGAGCAGCTGCCCTCTCGAAAGTTGCCCAAGCGTTTGAAGAGCAGCAATTCGCTGGAAAAGGCGCGCAGCGAGAACAACGAGCAAGCCATTCAAAAGGGCAGGGAACCCGACGAAGTCACCACTGAAGATCCTGAAGGACCCTGAAGCTCCCGCTGTAACAGCCACTTCTCCACCAAAACACTCCAAAAACGCAGACAGCCCTCAGAGCCCTACTCTCCTTAAAAACCCTAAACGTTGAACCCATAGCCGCTGCAGATTCCGTGGCTCTGGTGGGCCGGATCCCAAGGCTCCTCCCTCCTTGGTGGGAGCGCCTTCACAAGTGTTGCGTTGGCAAACATCACTTGGAGGTTCATGGATAGTTATAAGTAGGGTTAGAAGTAGGGTAACTATAGGTTGGTGGTACAGACTGTTCTATCATTGGTTGCTGCTGCTGCTGCTGCTGCTGCTGTTGCTGTTGCTGTTGCTGTTGCTGTTGCTGTTGTTGTTGTTGTGGTTGTGGTTGTGGTTGTGATTCTTGTTCTTGTTCTTGTTCTTCTTGTCTATTCTCCTCTCTGGGGGCCCGGGTGTCGTTTAGCATCCGGAACAGCGCAGAGGCAGAGAAGCACATGCCAGCGAAGATGTGCAGAAAAACGGAAAGTTGGGCTTTTCGGCCTCTGGCGTCTGTGCTGTCAAGATATACCATGACTCTATGAGGGTTTCCGAAAATAGGGGACCCTAATATAGTACCCTAAATAGTAGGATCCTTATTATAAGGACCCCAAAATAAGGTACCCCCCTTCTTTTTTCGGAAACTCCCATATGAACACCCCCAAAAAGCCTGGAGAGATCGAAAGGCCGAAGTGTGATTTGCCTCTAAGGGCGAACTCGCCGTCCAAGCACCAGGCTAGCAAAGGCCCGGCTCGCCATCATCGCCTAACCTCCCGGGGGCCCTACAGAGTAGGTACCTGGGGGGTTATTGATCAGTTCAGCGTTTACAGGGCACGGGCCAAGATCATCATTAGCATCGCCGCGGCATATTCGCGCATTCATTTGATTTCCAGCCTTGGTGTGATGCTGGTCGAGGAATATAAGTTCGGGCAGAGAGGTTGGATGGGAGCACCGGTACCCCTCCAAGGGCCCTTCACTAACCAAAAGTTGCCAGATGTATGAGGGGGGTATTGCATGGGTTCTGTGAGTCCTCAGACACCACCCCCGAGGCGTTTTGTTCCATCGCTTTCGCCTTTCACTGTTTAATGCTTCATGCACTGATCGATAACTCCCTGAGCCCGACAAACCCGCAAACACGGCCCAGACCTCAACCCTTGCTTGACTTTCGCAGGTGGCCGAAACGTGGCTCAGGAGTCTTTCGGAGATCAGGAGACACGAGAACAGCGGCTGTGGCTTTGCTCCGTCTTTGAGCATTCTTCAAAGGGCATGATGTTGCACTATTGAATGCGAGCATGCTTGATGTCGAACTGCCAGAGCTTTCACAGGCAACATCATTCAACGGTTTGCTAACACTCGCTGTGCACACAGGAGCATGCAGACAAGGTGAGTGAGTTTGTCTCACGCATGGCGCTCGGTGGGCAGCCAGCAATCTTCAGCCGATTGATAGTTAGTTGCGGCCGCCAGTCCTGCTGTCGTCCACGTCGACATGTCGCTGTCGTTTCTCGACTCGCTTTTGTCCAATGGCCATCTCTCCATGTCACGATGTTTACCAGCCACTTGTCACGGGAGCGACCGCACTTGTGCCCTTCGATTCTGTCGGTGAAAAACTTAGCCCCCTTTGCCCATAGTAAATGAATAAATAAATATAAATAAATAAATATATATATATATAATATGTATATAGGCAGCGGCAGGATGGATCGTATCAGCCATGTCCGGCATGTGCTGCCTTTCCTTGACGCTCTGGATCTGGCACGGTCCGAAAGAGTGAACCGCACTTGGTGCAGTAGCGCAGCCGAACTGAACTTGTGGGAGGGTCTTTGCGCGATGTACAAGTCGACGAAGTTGGCTACACGAGCTGGGCGCGACGTTCCCTGGCCGGAGCAGGGTCAACAAAGCCTGCGTCAATATACCGGAGCACTGCATACCCTCGAACGCCTGATCCTGAACAACGACGTGCAGCAGTGCGAGGGATGTGTCGGATGGCTTCGTGAAGATGACGGCTTCACGTGTGAAGAATGCCAAGGTTTTTGGTGTGATGAGTGCAAGAATGTCGGACCAGACAAAACCCAAGTCCCATGTAAGCTGTGCCCAGACTTTAGCAAAAGTCACTGCCATCAGTGTTTCGACGAAGGAAGAACTGAATATTGCGAGTGCAAGAGTACCGACAGCTGGCACAGCTGTTGTGGACGTCACGCTTTCGACTGTGAGAAATGCGGTGCTTGCTTGTGCGACGGCTGTTGTGGTTACCACGAGTGCGGGGATGAGGATGACTGAGGACGCAGCCTGCAGAAGCTTGTGGTCGCCAGCGTTGTGGCACAGCTGCTGGTTTCACCTCTTGGGTCGTCAGTTGTGTTTATTTAGAAGAGCTGGTCATCATGTGACCTGTCCCTCGCTGAAAAGGCAAAGCCTTTTCGTGTTGCTTGAGTGTGCAGGCATCCTTTCCCTTGTGGCTGCCGGGCCTTTCCGAGTCAATTCAGAGTTAGTACTGTCACCAGCTCGTTTACATTATCATGCAACAAGTTCCTGTTTGGTGTGAGGTCAGATACAGGCCACGAAGTGAAGACACACTGAGGAACATTCTTCGCAGAATCGCAAGTGCTGCTGCTCACTGACTTTTACTAATAAACTAATATGGGTGTCAGCAATACCATTGCCCTCCTTCAATACCTACAATCAATCTGTCCGTGCACGAAGCAGGACTTGCCCCGTGGCCTTTTTGCAGTAGCTTGTGTCGCTGCCGCTGCTGCTGCTGCTGCTGCTGCTGCTGCTGCTCTTCCTACTGTTGGACCAACAGTAATGGTACTAAAGCACCCTTACTGTTACGATTACGGATTCATGACGATTACTTTTGCTATTACTACTATTATGCTTACCATGGCTATTACCAATACTACTACTACTACTACTACTACTATCGCTACTATCGCTACTATC